AGAGGGAAATTTGCCAGAAAAAGTACCCAGCTGGATAAAAAGAGACTGGAGATTGGTATCATACAGGTATGGAATTATTTCAAATGTCAATAGTCAAAACATGCTAATAACCCCCCTAAAACATCACTGAAAACTGGTCAAGCTGAGCCACTATACAACCAGGAGTGGTTCATGGGGTTAAAAGAACAAGCCTGCTTCTGTAACCCAGTTGTTAGGGCAGTCACCTAAAGAGGGGAATGTTTCCAGACAAGTCCTGCCCGCTCCCAGTTAATCAGACGACTGTTTTAATGGAATACATATTGCTCCTGAATCCAAGATTCCTGCTCCCAGTGTTGGACTGCAGGGTGAAGCTCTTTTGTGCCTTCTCTCTTTAGCCGTGAATTCTTCCCTCACACGGGTCCAGCTTCAAGAAACCAGCGTGCAACGTTTTTCCTTCCAGAATAATTTAGCACTTAGGAAACACAGTCATAAAGAGCAGCCCACATGGATCTGAAGCCTTTCTGCTGGAGACAGAGGAAAGTCCTGGCTTCTTCACATTAAAGCATCTTGCCTGGTAACTTGGATGGCCCAACTTTTTTTCTCTTTAGTCTGCCGTTGTGTCTACCAACATTTTCTCTGGTATGGGTACAATCTACCTTGCTAAGCGAGGGATTAGCAACCACTACCTAATGCCATCGTAGACATCTTTGCCTTTACCACTCATGAAAGCGGCATGATAGATTTTAACTGTTGTGTATCATTCAATCTCAAACAACAGAGCAGGCTCTCACCTATGTCTTTACCCATAGCTCGTGCAAGTTCCTCAATAGTCATCTTCTGCCTTACTGCCACTTCACCTTTTGTCAGTGCTATCTTCTTTTTCTTCTTTTTTGTCTCCTACATGGAATTAGACACGTATATAGGAACACATAGCTGGCTTAGACTAAGAAATAATAAAAACAATATTAAAAAGACAGTGGTCTCAAGCCATATGATGTAAACACATCTTTTTTACTACAATACCAATGAATTATAACAAATGAATGACTTAACACATCATACTGAATATTTAAAGTGTATAGCATACTACACCTAATCTTTTTTCATTTTTAATTTTTCAAAACAAGGGAAAAAAAATCAACAAAATAATTTTCATTTTTGTAATAGTTTCCTCCTGCCTCTGCAAGATTCATGATGCTGCTGGTATAAGCACTTTAAGTCAATATTTGAGAGGGAGTCACAATACAGTCATACATTAAGTACATTTTGTCTTATAAATTTATAATAACTTCTCTATATTCATTAATAAAATTTTGTAACTAAAATGCTCAAACTGAGCTCTTGCACTTTGAAATGTCACATAAAACCATAGATTATTGGATTTTGTTAATTACCTCCTTTGTAGCTAGATGTCTGCATTGCGATAAGGCAATACTAATTAATTTGTCTTTTTGCCAGAACTGCGGATACAGAAGAACGGACCACACGGGATGTGCAGATGACTGCACAGGCTTCCATTGTCCTCTGTAAACTTTTCTGTAGGAGACAGTTCGCAGCTGCCGGCAAGCACCACGTAACTGGACCAGATTTTCAAACTTTAGTATCAACCCTCGATTCATTTCCTCACTGAAAATACAAAGGACACATTGAAATCAGTCTCAAAGCCGAAAGATATTCTTTCCTACGATAATAAGGACAGGAACACGCGGCACAAATGTTACGTTTCAAAACGGGCTTTTTAATGCTGAAAAAGTTGAACTATTTAGTAACTGTTCCAGTTTTTCAGTTTCCTTAAGCGCTTCACCTTTCCCCACTACGCCATTGCAGACACATGGGTCTACTAATATCGCCACAGCTTACAAATCTCCACTGACCTTTAACATAAACTACTAAAATCCCTGTTTCAGGTTCTTTGACTCTACCTAGAAAAAAAGGGACATTTGCACTCCTCGTGCTATACTGATAGCGTTATCCAGGTGCAACCTACCTCTCTAAGCCAGTAAAACACATTTCCAAAATGCCGCTTACATGAGCACACACCACCACTAAAAGGCTACAGCACTGTAGTAATACTAGTCTTGTCACATGGACAGAGACATCCTTTGAGGCTAAGCCCTGGCTTAGCAATTAAGCTTTCCAAGATGCTTCTGTCAGATCATCCCGCTTCTTGTTTTAACCATCTTAACTTTGGTTTGAGTAATTTTGCTAATTATCCCATACAACAGTCTCCTATTTGAACTTCTTGTTCAGAGTTGCCTATTTTGTCCTTCTGCTCAGTGATGCCATCTCTCTACCTGCTATGTCTTCTCTCAAAGGTAGCTTTGTACCATCCTCCAAGCAGCTCCAAATGAGTGAAATGCTACCAGTTCCTCTCAGAATGACTGCGGTCTCTTTAAAAACTCTCTTGTACCCGGATACCTGCAGGAAATGAGCAGATGACAAACCAACCAACCCAAAACAACTACTTTTACTTTTTTTTTCCCGCCTAATGAGAACTTTAAAGGGGCAGAATCGGTAAAACCGAGGAACCCCCAGGAGCTGCCACAAGATGCTGCATACGCCGAAAATGTAACACAAGGTCAAAGCCAGACTGGACAAGCTCACAGAGAAGACATCCACGCGAGGTTGCTAACTGCAAAGAAACCACTCGTGGCTCTGAGGGCCCGTGGGTCACCAGCGGCCGGGACAGGCGCACCCCTCTAGCTCGTACTGCTCTTACGCTGGCTGGCACTGCAGCGGAGCCACCAGGCTACACAGGCCTTTCGTCTAACAAACAGCGTTCAGCCCCGCGGGGCAGGAACACGAACAGCTGCCTCGGGAACAGCCTCACCCTGCTGCG